GGTTCTTTTAGACTCGTAACACTTTGTGCTTCTTCAGACTTCTGAACTCCACTTTAGACTTAAGAATTCCACTACTGAAGAAGACAAGGGTAAGGAAATAGGCTAGTTAGGGCTATGCCTTAGGAGGTGGTTGTATCGTGATGACTGGGGAAAAAACAGTGTAAATCCAAAAGATGCTGTAAAAGCAAACAATGGGTACGTACCAAACAGCGCTTTTTCCTGAGATGGGAATATTTTTAACTTGTATAGCAGAGTTACGGATAACTGAATGCAGCAGCTTCTCATTTGTGTTTTTTTCTTGCAGGTATCTTGCAGTTGGGAAGAGCACTCGTGGCCAAGCTGTACTTGGCCCAGAAAATGCAGATATCGCCAAAGATCCCTCATGGGTCAAACGATGAATTGCTGCTGAACATCCAAGCCAATACAAAACAAGCCCATCTGTGTGACTATACAATTAGTTTTTTGTAGTAACTTGTAACTGTGCTATGGTCCAATTTAAATGTTCATTGCTCCTTTTAAGTGTCCAACAAACCAGTTAAAAGCTGTCCCTCTTGAAATAACTATGTGAAAAATTTTCAAACCATACAGTATTTGAGAGCAAGAATGATTTGCTCTGTTATGGCAAAGACAGACCTTAATATTTTACTAAAGACTCACTCCTCCAGTTGCTCTGAAAGCTATATAAATTAAATATTTTTGTGTATGTAAAACTAGCGTTTTAAATGGAGTTTGTTTGAAATCATGTCTGCTGTTGGATATATAAAAACTACGTGTCTCACACTGACAGATTTCATTCTTTGGTGTGATAATTCCAGCTCCCTTGGCAGAAGCCACCTACAGGTAGAGGAGCTTTGTGACAGTACATTCCACCTCGCATCACACCAAGATTGTAGTGAATTGCAGTGTAGTGGGCAAATCACTCATGAATCAGTGTACAGCATATTTTAAGTTCAACTCAGCTTGCCGCTCTGGGCAACACTCAGTCATCTTTTGATATGACGCAGTCTAGTATTTAACTTTTTGTCAAGGTCCAGTTAACAGGTACGCTGGCATGAGGAAACATTTTTGGCTGTGTCAGCCTAATTTCTAATTTTCCTTCTATGACCAGGTGACCCGCCTAGTGGACGAGGGAAAGGCTGTGGATGTGGTCTACCTGGACTTCAGTAAGGCCTTTGACACCATCTCCCACAGCATTCTCCTCGAGAAGCTGGCGGCTCTGGATGTAAGGAAAAATTTCTTTACTGAAAGAGTGGTTAAACATTGGACCAGGCTGCCCAGGGAAGTGGTTGAGTCCCCATCCCTGGAAGTATTTAAAAGACGGGTAGATGAGGCGCTTAGGGACATGGTTTAGTGGGCATGGTGTTGTTGGGTTGACGGTTGGACTCGATGATCTTGGAGGTCTCTTCCAACCTTAATGATTCTATGATTCTATGATTCTAATTTCAAAAATCAATTTTATCCTTTTTGATCATTATGGGACTTTTTTTTTTTAGTAGTCTTGAAGAAGCTGAGAGAAAGGAAACATGAAGCAATGACCTGATTACACCCTTCTGAATCTCAAATTGTTAAAGCTTCCCCCCCCCAAAAAAAAAAACCCACCCTAATTTTATCATCCCTGTACAAGGAGAAAGGATGCAGAGTTCTAGCCTAATCCTGAAGCAGTGTAAAACAGTTTGCCCTGCTGTAAATACTTCCTGCACGGTTAGGAAAGGAAAAGGGCAGCTTGCTTCTTTCCTTCACAGGAACGTATAGAGAATCCTTCATGAAGCATTATTCCCCCAATTGTTTAAAAGCAGGTGAATACAATTTCTGACAAGTCACTCATGATGTTTGCAACAGTACTTTATTTCACTTCAGATACATTAAGCACGATCCTGTAACTCAACACAAAGCTAGCCATCTACACTTTTTTGGGTGTAAGTACTCCGAAACAAAGTGCAGTAGATGAGTAACTTACTTACAGAGCGCATAGAGCGGTGTTGCACTTACTTACTGTTAAAGGGTAGTATCAGTAAACAGTGCTTAGCTATTAGATGCTAGGGTTTGTTTCAAACAACACAAATACAGGACAAAATCTGTGTGACATCTGAACATCTTGTTTCACATAAAGTGCTGGTACAATAATTTAAATGTTACAAAACAAAGCTGTAACGATTCTAAAGCATTGTTACTCACAATGTGCATCTATTAGATTATTCTAAAAGTGATGTCTTTAGATGGCTCCGGTTTCTGCTTCCTTTGGGCTGTGCCTAGCAACATGCTCCAGCTGGCCTGAATCTGAAACATCGTAACTGGTCTTGTACTTGGCCAGGATTTTCATCAGTGGCCGCAGCTTCAGCCACCACTGCTCCTTGGGAATCCTGTGTCTGTGTAAGAGGGGGGGTGGGGGGGGGAAAGAGGTGATTTACTTGGCAGCCAAGACAAACACATTTTGTAGGTTATTTGACAGCGCTAACAGTAATAGCCTTCCTTATAAATAGGATCAGATGTTGACATTTATGGTGAGATGTAAACACTGACCCAAAATGGGGAGAAGTAAGGACAGAATACTGAAGGAACAAATTTTACTATAAAGATGTTCTTTATAGGTAAGTATAATACCAAATTGGGCTGCTGCACTCAACTGTACCAGAGGTAAAGTAATTCTAGGGATTAGAGCAAAGACAACTATGAGAACGTTAACTTAAAAGGACAGTGGAATCCCAGAATTCATAACAAGAGACTTCAAGCGTAAGGAGAGGATGAAGAGAGTTGTTAGAAAAGACAAGTGAACAAAGTGAATCACTGGCTGAATGTAGGCCAAAGACAAAAGTGCAATAAAACAGTTGGCAAACGCTGTGTGTCAGCACCGTGGAGAAGATGCTCATTTGATGTGGTGAAAGGAAGCCTGTGTTGAGATGTTTAAAATGTAAGCAGCATATACATACACAAAGTCCGTTTCATTCTTAAGCTCAGCCACAGGTTGGAAAACAAGGTTCCGTCTACGCATTCCCAGCAAACAAACTGAATCATCAGTATTGGCAAATACTTTTCCTAAAAAGAATGAAATAATTCAGGATCTTTCTTACTCGCGCTTGTAAGGGCAAATACCCTTTTCTGTAGTTAAATTGAATAGGGAGCTTACAGTAGCTTAATTTCAGTTACTGAATATTTAATGTAATGATAAAACATCAATTAGTACTTTAATAGGGTTAGGAGACCTTCACTTTTTTAATTTAGCTTTGGTGATTAGCAATGAAAATACAGTGTAATTAAGCAACAAGACTGAATTTTAACATCATTTTAAATTAGATTTTAGTAAATAGTGCTTTACAAAAATTCCCAAAGACGACATTACCTTCTTCTGTCTCCCATGTAGCCACCATGAAACAAAAAGGAAGAACAGATGTAACTATATAACCATCAATTCCTTCATGCATGAAAAACTGCAATCACACTAGCATTTTTTTAAAGATAGATAAGAAAACAGTTATCTGAATTATTGACCTCACTTGAGGGGAAGTCTTCTTACAGTAGGAAGCACAGCAAGGCACTACTGAATAATAACATAATCAAGAGGGAAAGAAGTTTGTTGACTAACAAACTAATATACATTCATATGTTTGTGTAACAGTCTTATATACTGATAGCTAACCAAAGACAGTAACAAGAGGTAGTACCAAATATTTCTGCACCTTTTCGGTAGGTTTCTTTCAGTTTTTTGGAGATCCACTGCATAGCTTTTGCAGAAATTTTTGTCCCGAAGTTTCTATCAAATGGTGAAGGTGCACCACCCTGTGTGAAAATTAGCTGTTTGTTAGTTTAGTTATAGAACCAGTATTTGTGTCTTTTTATTTTATCAGTCACCTCTGTTAATAGCCTGCTCTACCTCTTATTTCCATTTCCCCCACTTACTTAGAAAATCAAACCAACCAAAAACCCCGCCATGCAAATCAAGCTACAACATTTAAACTTTGTGTTAAGCACTTGTATTACGGATCAATGAGCATTCTACTTTTCACTTAGATAAATGGAGGGCACTGTTCTCCCTTTCTTTCATTTCCCCATAGTGCTGATCATTAAGCACTGCCCAGCTATCGCTCTGCCACAGGGCAACCTGGTTTCAGCATAATATAAACCAGGAAACTGTTGAAGGAGAGGTGTCAGAGGGAGCCTAAGAAACCCAAGGGCTGACTCTGTAATCTAGGGAGTCTGGGAAGCACAGCTCTGTTGCAGCTGGAACGAGGAAGGCCATAATGTATGTATACATTATGTATACATACATAATGTATGCAACACTAGGACAAAACAACTGCGCTGGGACCTCCTAGACTAGTAATTGCATGATTTCTGGTTTTTTGGCTGCTTTCATTCCAAATATTACAGCAGCCTTTATATAGTTCTGGGAACAAAAGTGGTGTTTGGGGTTTTTTTAAACTCTCTGTTTACATTATATAAAGTCTGACTTTTCTGTCCATTTTCAATGCAGCAGATGGATCTGAAATCATATGTGAAGTAGTTCCAAATAGTTCCAAACAGATTGTTTGACTAATGCTGGTCTTGACCTTCAAAGCAAACTTTGCTAAATTTTATGCAGAAAGTGTCAAGCTCAGTGTTGAATAATCTAAAAATATGAGTAAGGGGAATATACATACAACTTGAAACGACTTAAAAGGAAAGACAGTCATTTCACTACTAGTACTTGAGAAATTTGGCTCTAGATGTATTTTTTACTCTACCTCAGTCTTGGTGGTTAGTGTAGTCAAACTAGAAACTTACTATTTGCCCACTAACAAGCAGTATAGTGAGATCAAGAGATACAAGGTACAAAGACCACAAGGAGTAGCTCAGTGCTGTTTCTTCTACAAGAACAATCCATCTGCACATACTGTCTTAACGAAATCTCATCTCTTCCAGGGTTCAGAAGCCAGATACATTACAGATGGGTAGATAAGTGTGTTCTAAGGATGTATTACAATAATAGTAAGAGAGCTGTATTATCTATTAAAAAAAGTGTAATTGTTTATTAATATAGACAGGGGAGGAATAAAAATGAAAATCCCTAAGAATCTAATGCATTTTTTTTTCCTAGATTTTTAAGAAGGAATTGCAATAAAACATACTCCTAACAAAAACTTCTGAGTTACCTATGAACAAAAATCCATACACTTTTTTTTTTCTTTAATCCCAAGTCAGGCTTGCTTGAAATGCTTGAATAGTGCATGCTTTTTGTTCAAAGTTAAGCTTGTCTGTAATTTTAAGGTGATTTTTACCTGCTGCATGTGGCCCAATACATTTTTTCGACAGTCAAACACTCCTTTTCCTTCTTCAGAATACAGCTGATAAATGAAGTCAGTTGTGTAGTTCTCATTGCAGTTCTCATTTCTGTAACAATTAAGGCCAGATACAGTTAGCAAATTTACTATTAAGTAGTGGATGTCTTTACAGCTACTGAATGACAAATGTTTTCCCCATTTTCTTGATACCAGTAATCATGGCTTGGGTATTTTCATCTAATCACATATGTTCACTTTCATGTAACATGCTAATGATTTTGAAGTCTGCATTACTTTTACTACACTGACATCACTAGCAGGTCACTTGGAATCCATTGTTGAATAAGGTAGTGAAAAAATATCATTTTAGGTCTGACAAGTTCATTATGCAGAGGAAAAACTGGATTAAAACAAAAAGTCATCGACATCCATCATCATTTTGATCTTTATAAAAGCATGGATAATAAATAGTACCTTAGGCTGTTCCTTACCAATATTGTAAACGTAGGCTATTTTTTCACACTAGTCATACAACTAGTAGAAACTGAACAAATATAATGGTATCCTCATACAATTTATTGTGGTATTCATTTTTTAGCCCTTTGCCACTCGGCATACTGAAAATAAAAGCTAAAGAAAGAAAGAAGCTACAGCCTGATTCATGCTGCCTAAGAAGGTATAATTTTAAAACATGCTAATCAACATATTTTAAATGTTTTTATTTTTGAAAGATATCTTATTATCTCCTAAAATCTAAGTAGGATTTTTATAGTAAAGGCCATACTATACGTGTACGCATGTATGCCAGTTTTCACACTACCTTTAGTAAGAAAGAACCTACAATAAAAGACAAAGCCAATGAGAAAACAGGCTGAAAATAGGATAGAATATTAGATTGTAGAGCAAATACATTCACATAGAAAGAAGGAAGTTTTGAACTTGAGAATCCAGACAGCTCCCAGACTTGCCTTCTGGAGCTACAGCTTTAGCAAAAATCTCACACTAAAGGAATAATCAAGGAATATAGACTTAGAGTGTCTTTGCAAGTGGCCAAACAGCCTACTTGGCTGGAAGTGCTCAGCATCACTGATGCCATCTATTAAAACTACTTTTGCTTACCTCAGCACCAGACCACGCTGGATACTGGTTTTCATTTTTTCAGTCAAGTGTTCCACATTAGCCTAGAAACAACAGAAGTATTTTTAACAAGCCATACAGAACTCTGAAACAACTTTAATGAACCTACATATCCGGAGGACTTCTGTAAAATATTCCACATCAAATATTATGTGCAAGTTCAAATAATCAGCAGGTTTTTGGAGACCCAGGATACTATACTGTGTATGGCTATTCATCTTTGGTTAAAACTAACTTCTTCCTCCACGTCTCAACTAACTGACTTTAATAGCAACACAAAGTTGTTTTTTTGTATGCTATTCTGGTATAGCACCAAGTTGGATAACATCAATATACATAAAAATATAGAAATTGCTACAAAATTGTATCTTGCCCTTACTCCCAGTCCTTGCAAAAGTCTTGTTATGGATACAGTGATGTACTGCTGTGCTGGTACTTCCATGAAGAGTACACGCCACTGAGAAGTGAGTGGGGAGGAATTACATTTCATTTCACACCTCTTTTCCTTTCAGGAAATTTCTGTCTGTTTAGCTTTATATTCGTCCATGACTGCAGCCAGCATGAGCTACCTCAGAAGTGTAAAAGCCTCATAGTAGACAAGTTCCATATCAGCTTACACCCTGATCTGTAATCCTTAAAGCCCAAGATCTTTAATTCAGTAACACTTCCAAACATGCTCTGAATAGTTGTGGTATCAAAATCAGTATCTAATACACCTTACATACTGTTCAACTCATGACACGAATAGCTGTCTAACACAAGGGAAAAGGTATTTCTTTTTTTTTTCCCTCTATTTGTTTTTCTTCTAAAACTGCCCAGGTCTGTTCATTTACATGTAATTTTAATTTCAATCAGAAGAATAAAAATGAAACAATTCACCTAGTAGTGTTTAATGACTAATACAATAATTTTGTCAGTTAACTGAATCTGATGCCAAGAATAACTGGTATATGTTCCTTTATATAATATGGTGTAAGAACCGGCATTATATGAAAGTGCTACTGACAAATGTAACTTTTAGATACAAGCTAAATGTTTGGGGGTTTTGTAACATGAGCAGTCTATTTCAAATATACACATTATGCTATATATGTACAACAATTTTAGGATCTACTTAAAACTGAGGAAAACATTTCTAATGCTTTATACCTGGAGCTCTCGAATATCAAACTGTTCTTCAAAGATATAAGCAGCATCAGCTCCTGCCGCAAGGGCCCCCATATTAGCCAGATAACCACAATAA